TTACTTGTGTGTAACTGACTTAAACCATATTCACATGAAATATAATTTACATATTCAATATATTACCCAATGATATCTTACACTAAATACATACTCAGGACTGGATGAAATGATAACGAAATGTTAAATAAAAATAGTTTACTGTATAAATGAAATATTAAACTTAACCAAAGAATGAATTCTCAATATAAACAAAACAACAAAAAAATAATAAGATACAAATTGTATCAATGAAGTAAAGTATTAAATATTGAATAAAATTAAATCACCTCAAGCCTCAAGTTTGAATTAGCCTCAAAATGTAAAAGAAATCAAAAAGTTACAAGTACCTCAATAGCCTCACAATGTAGTAAGCTAGTTGTAGGCTAACATACAGCACATATCACATCATGAAACGCAGGCTCACACACACACTAAACGTGATTCACCCACCCCAGTCCTAGCCGGCAAATGTGCTAAATCCTAACAGTTAACCGTTGCAGGCCTGGAGCGTTGCTGGTGTTCGTTGTGGCCAAACAAAATGACCCCTTCTCTTCCTTTGGAGCAAACGAAACAATTTAAAGATTGTCACAAATATTCACAATATGTCACAAATAGTCAATTTATTTATTATTAATCCCCTATAAGTCATAATGAAGATATGATATGTATATTATTGACGGGAGTTATCAAAGATGATGAATGAGAAATCTACCTAAAGGAGGTAGGATCCTATGTATCTACAGGGATGATGTACACAGATTAATTATATTCTGAATTCTTCTAATATCCACTGAGCCTGCTAATTTCTTCTTGTAGTAAATGAGTCCAGCAGCTGATATAATGATTCCCAGCACCAGACCAAAGGATCCAATAGCGATTTTAATTCTGTCAGACTCTAGGAGAGACGGATCTGTGGAGCACACTTGTGTGTCAAATTATGGTGATGACCACAAATACAAATATAACATGACAGTATGTAAGTATCTCCTCTTACCCCAGTCATAAATCATGGGTTTATGGAAGCTGGCGTGCTCCACCACACAGGAGATCTTCTCTCCAGATTTAGGAGTGTATTCCAGCTCAGAGTGAATCTGGTAGTACCAGTCTCCATTAGCCATCTCCATTGTTGAGGTTATTTCAGAGGTCATCAGTTTACCATCTCTCAGCCAGGACACTTTGATGTGTGCAGGATAAAATTCATAAGCGCTGCACATCAACACAGCTGGGTGATTGCCACCAGCCCGAGTCACTGAACTGACCTTAACCTTTGGTTTCACTGAATCAAAGAAAGCAACATTCTAAATATGCAGTTTCTTACACGTCTTATATGTATTGTGTTCATTGCAGGTCGAGGTGATAAATGGCAATTCAAGAAAACAGAGAGAGAAATAATTTTTACTCAGTAGGTTTTTATAATTAAAGCAACACCATGGAACTTCGTCTTCAGTCGCCCTACTGGTTGGAAAAGTGTCCATTACCACTGTCGTAAATAATTTAGCCTACCGTCTCGCACATAACGCTTGCTGTTTATCCAGCACCGGCTTTAGAATGAATGATGTCAACAGACAAGGCAGAGTATGTAACATAATTTGGTAACACTTTATTTTACGACCCGCAAACAACTGTGTAAGTACACTGAAATTACAGTGTACATTTCTGTAATTATAGTGTACTTCCGTGTAGGTATAAGGGAACAATATGTTAAGTTTTGTGTAATAAAGGGGTAACAAACACCACTTTAATTTACAGCCCGCAGGAGTTACACTTACCCTGTAACTACACAGAACAAGGGGGTAACAAAGCTACTTACTATGTAGCAATACGAAACAACACTATTTGCACTGTAATTGCAGAGAAAGATACTGTTATAAAAAATCGTTTTAATTACACAGTATATTTGCACTTACATTTAAGTGTTATTGCAATTCAATGGTATAAGGTAAGTACTAATTACCACATGGTACGGTCTAAATTAAAATCATAGCACAAACAAATTATTTTGACTTAACATTAAGCAATCTAGTGAGAAAAGCCAATAAATTTAATTTTTGTCATAGTATATATACAGTATATATATATATAACCACAGATGTCAAAATTACCCTGTAACATTGCACAAGAATATATTTTGCCAGAAATGTGATACACTTTATAAACAACAGACGTACAATTTTTGCCTGGAATATAACAGAATAGATACCTATTTGTTTTAACTATTTAAATAATTTGCTTGTATATACCTGCTTGTTACCCCTTTATTACCCCAAACTTAACATATTGTTCCCTTATACCTACACAGAAGTACACTATAATTACAGAAACGTACACCGTAATTTCAGTGTACTTACAAAGTTATTTGCAGGGTGTATATCTGTTTGTTACCCCTTTATTACCCCAAACTTATCATATTGTTCCCTTATACTTACACAGAAGTACACTATAATTACAGAAACGTACACCGTAATTTCAGTGTACTTACACAGTTGTTTGCGGGTCGTAAAATAAAGTGTTACCCATAATTTAATGAAAGTAAGATGTGGTGTGACATCAGAAACAAAGAAAAACAAAATAATGACAATTGACCCTTCGCTAAGCCCCGCCCTCCCTAGTTACTGTTGCTACGCCTATCAAGCTTTCGCGGCTGGCCCATCTATTATAGTGTGGATGCACCCGGTATCAGACATTTCAATGAGATAATTAGTAATTTCGGCGAACAAGTGAAATATCTGAGAGAGCAAGACAAAAGGGACTACAGTATGCATTCGAGGGATATATTCACGACATTATATGCAACCGGTTAGAGAATAATTTCTTAAAAATTTAAGTTAAAGCCTAACGTTATAGTCCCAGCGCAAGCAGCTGACCGTTCAAATGGGAAACACAAATTAAGGAACAGCTGTGTTCATACACTGCAGGGTATGTGAAAATAATCTTAATAATTATAAATCAAACAGCTTATCAATAAATCTTGTGGGATAACACTAATACCGGGAGAGCCGCGATCGGATTGGGTTAAGTTACTTAGTAAGAGGTAGGTTAACGTTAGTAGGACGTCGATTAACAAAATGCTGAAATATATTTTAAAGTATGTCAGTGAGCCTTTGTCTTGTCTCTTTAATCGTCTTATTTTACGTTATATCATTATGACCAAAGAACCGTCAATATTTCCAAGCAATAATAGGTGTTTTTGTTAAGCATGTCGACATTTACCAGAATGGGTCTCGCACATAGACGCTAGATCACGCCAATCATTTCTCCCCTTGGCTTTTAGATTTTCTGGAAGGAAAACTATTCCTCTCCCCCGTCCAAACTTTTAGTATACCGGTATCAGATTTGCACAATCCATACGCATGCACAATGCTTCAGCATGTTCCCTCGTTCGAAAGCTTGCCAGACCTCCCGCGCATAGTTACGGTTGCTACGACATGATTGGCCAGTGGCGGTTTTAGGGCGTGGCTTAGCGAAGGGTCAATTGTAATGCTTCAAGTAAAGCAGTCGAATTTTGTAGTTCTTTTTGTGCTTGGGTTACTACCCGAACCCCGGAGTTCCGTAAGTGCCAGTAAAAGTGCCAAAGACCCGGTTAGGCTATGGCAGATATGTCATTCAACCTATTGTACTGTAAGTTGATGTACCATTACAAGGGTCTTGAAAATATATTATGAAGGTTGAAAAACTACATGGTGTTGCTTTAAATTCTTTGATGCTAGAGTTGATCATAAAAAAACAAGAAATTCCATGAGTGACAGTTAACGTCAGATTGGAGCCACTTACCTACTTTATCAAGGAAACGTGAGGCCTCGGATTCGAAAAGATATTTGCATGCATCCACACCATTTCTCTCTGTTTGCACAAAGGTGCCATTGTTCCAGCTCTCAGCAACAATCATTCCAATTTCATTAAACCCCACAAACTTCCTCAAAGTACTGTTGAACTTTGCGAATAGACGTTTATTTAAGTAAAAGCTGTCAATATACGTCATGTCACTGAAATCAGGAGAGCTGTAGGTGCATTTTGCCCGTCTTATGTAATAGTAATCAGCTGTAAAAGAATTTAGAGGCAGTACAATCACAGTTTTGCCAGATACACACGAAGATAAAAAAGAAGAACTTTAAAGTAATAAACTAGAGAATACACCCTCAGAGGACCATCAAACAAGTCACCTTTCTTAAAAATGCTGCAAATAATTTTACATGCACTTCTACTAGTAATAATGCAATTATTTTTAATATTTAATTATTTTTCTCGCTCTTCTTACTTACCACTATCTGCTCCAGTCAATAAAGACAGTGTCAAAATGAGATGACAACTCAAATTCTTTAGCAATGACATTTTCACTCACACGGAATCCTGGCTGAATGCTGTCGTGCTGTATGTTCATGCCGGGTGAATGTTTAAAATGACTGTCCAACCAGTTCCTCCAGGTATCAAATGTTACTAGGCAGTATTCTGCTTTCATTTATCAACACAAACACTGTTTGATTATCAGTCTGGAAAACAGTAATACAATGGCTAATTTATATAAATGCTGTAGTGTAGATTTTCTTTCTTACAGAAACTTTCCTACAACGCTCAGAAACTTAAGATACTATAATAATAGCATACTAAGGTTTTATTAAGACATTGGTTATTAACAATTGGTTATTAACAAACTTCAGCCAATTTTTATTAATTTTTATATTATGATGACAATGTATACGGAGTTTTATATCATAAACTGCCTGGGTGTTAATTAGGCGTGTTCACAAAATTCACGGTTCGGTTGGATGTGATACATTTGTGTCACTGTTCGGTTCGGTATGTTTTTGATACAGCAAAAAGAAAGAAATGTCAGAGAAATTTCCTTGATGTAATTTTTTAATTATATTTTTGTTAAAACTAACATCATAAAGAATGATTTTTATATATATATATATATATATATATATATATATATATATATATATATTTGTATTTACTTTGAGCAATGATGGAGCTATACTTTACTTTTCTTAAAGGGGTGGTTGATTATGATTTCACTTTTTTCATTTTAAATAGTGTTGAATGTTGCTGTTGGTGCATGAATAGTATCTGCAAAGTTATCTGTTAGTCTGTTAGAAAATCTGTTAGTGTGGCCAGCAGGGGGTGCTCACCCTGTGGTCTGTGTGGGTCCTAACACCCCAGTAAAGGGATGGGGACACTATGCTGTCAAAAGAGCACCGTCCTGCGGATGAGACGTTAAACCGAGGTCCTGACTCTCTGTGGTCATAAAAAAATCCCAGGATGTCTTTCGAAAGAGTAGGGGTGTAACCCCGGCATCCTGGCCAAAATTTGCCCAGTGGCCTCTGTCCATCATGGCATCCTAATCATCCCCATATACACCAATTGGCTTCATCTCTGTCTCCTCTCTACCAGTAAGCTGGTGTGTGGTGAGCGTTCTGGCGCAATATGGCTGCCGTCGCATCGTCCAGGTGGATGCTGAACATTGGTGGTGGTTGAGGAGATCCCCCCCCCCCCCCCCGCCCTCTATGTGAAGCGCTTTGAGTGTCCAGAAAAAGCGCTATATAAATGTAATGAATTATTATTATTATTATTATTTTAAAAATCAGGAAGTTCAAGTCAGAAAATGACTTGAATGGGACTACAACGGGTTTTAGACCTCACTAACCCATAGGCCTACATTTGCATCAACCCTTCCTTCGGAATATGCCAAAAACGGCATGGCCATATTTCTGTGGCTTCACCCAGCTGTCAGGTATTCTGTGTTCCGGTTTCCCACAGACGTTATAGTTTGTCAACAATGGATTCGATTTATGTTTGATTATGTTCCTGAAAATTACTCTCACACACACACACACACTCATTATCTCATCTCCTTCAGCTGATTTCACTCTCCTTATTCTCCGTGCCGGTTTTCACCAGCTGTTCCCTCTTTTCCCCGGATTGTTTCTCCTTCTTCTAGCTCTCCCTTTCCTTGTCTCATTGACTACATTTACATGCAGCCAATAACCCGTTCAAAACCAGGATATATGAGCAATAACCCGGTCACGAACAGCCATGTAAACACCGGCAAAAACCAAAATATGCTCATATCCCGGATTTAAAAAACCGGGATATTATACATGGGGTAACCCTTTTCTAACCCGAATTTTTGGTCATGTAAATGCGTATCGGCATATCCCCATAGTGATTTGTGTTCTGCACATGTTCCATTTGCAAGGAATCCTGGTCTTTTGAGTAGAGAAACTTATCGGTGCATACAAAAATCCGCATGCAGTATACCGGAAGTAAACATGGCGAGACACAGCACAGCATACTTTTGGAGCAAGGTCAGTAACGTTACCAGCATCAAATCGCAAACAAAGGCGATCACTATCTTCCCCAAATGATTCATTATCTGTGTGATGCTGTTGTTGTTGTCTTTGGATACAGGAAGAAGAATCAGAAATGACCCATATTGCATCATAAGGTTGTCCATACATCTAGATGCTAACCTTGCGTCGCCGTTTATATCGAGATATTGCAATTCCGTGTATACAGGAGAAACTCTCTCTGCTCACTTATGTAAACGGGTTATTCCTAATGTTTCAGAAACCCAAATAGTGACCTTAACCCGACCATAACCTGAAAATTGGCTGCATGTAAACGTAGTCATTGTCAGATTATTCGATGTTAAACTCATGTGTTACGCCCACTCTCGTCATCCTTGTCCTGTCCTGGTTTGTGCTGAAGCTCTATAACCTGCAAGTATTACTCTATTGCTCTGTTATCTGCTCTCTGAATTCTGCCCTGTTATCTGGACGTTGAGATCCTCTGCCTCGCCATAGACCTTCAACCGGCTCCCACTCTCTTCATGGGAGGCTCGAGGGTTCTCTAAGGGGGCTTTTACACTGGGCTGGTTTGCTGCGGTCCGAGCCAGAGCGCGTTTGTTCCCGGCGCCCCCCGCAGCGTTGGTCTGGTTTCACACTCAACTTGATTCTATCGAACGCTGGTGCGTTTGCATGCATCTTACGTCATCGCAAACGTACACGGCGCATGATATAAAGCAGAACGTGGGTAAATATTGTGGGTTTTTTGTATTAATTTGCTGTTATGCGCAGTTGAGTAACAATACAGATTCACTGTGCATGTGTCACATAAGGTGGACTTCTGCTGCTTGCAAACAGACTCTTTTGAGGAGACAGTGGATTTCCAAATGTGTTGCTTTGATTCCACGCGCAATGCACGAATACACCGATCGGAAGCAACCAAACTCAGACCACCTCCTCCAGGTAGTCTCGGGTTCGGTGCCCCAGTGCGCACCCGGGTCCCATGAAAGCGTTCACATTAGCGATTTTTCATGTGAACCGTGCCCCATTCCGAACTAAACTGCCAGTGTGAAAGCCCCTTGAATTAGCAGTCACCGACCGCATCCGCGCTGTTCGCTGTCCAGAAGAGGGGATTTCTGTTCTTGTTAAGAGCCGTGTGGCCGTTCCTGATTTCTCAGACTGTTGCTAAAGACTGTTGATTGCCACATCTCACTTTTGGGTTTTCTCTCTACCTCTTATTATAGTAGGCTAAGACTTAATCATTTTAAATGTATTTGCATGATATATAATTTCATGTTTTAGTTTTAACAAATGCCAGCACTGGCTTTATCGCCACTTAGTTATGCTATTTCATGTCTATGACAAACGCATACAAACATTCTGGACCTGAATTTGTATATGTACTAATTTTGAAAATGTATTTTTCATGTATATATACTTTATGACGTTATTTTTTGATTTGATCAAGAACGTAAACCATATGCCAACGCTAGACCTATGCTATTTTGTGTACGACAAACGTGTATAAAGTTAAAAAAAAATATAGGCAAATTACCATTCAGAAACGTTTAGTAAGAGCCATGTTTGGGGGGGTTCTGCTTGACTCTCTTCATCGCTGCTTTTTCGGTCTGATTCTGGCTCATACTGATACTGCAGTGTCGACACCATTATTTACATTGGCCGCAGAACATGAGACATTCACCCGTAAAGGTAATGGGCGTGAAGATTCCGGAAAACATGGACTACACAGTTTAGCCAATCACAACACACCGGCCCAAACTAACCAATCTGAGCCCATTGCCTGTTTCTGAGGGAGTGGTTTCATAGAATCAGGATGTAAACTGGTCGTTCAAATGATGCATCTTACAATAAAGGTGAAATTTATGAAAAATAAGACTTAAAAAAAAAAAAGAAAAACCACGAATACATGTTACATTGCACCCCATAAACCCAATCATGCGAAGAAAAAAAGCAGTAAACCACCCCTTTAAGAGCATATAAAACAAAACAGCTCCTTGGACAAAATGAAATAATAATGTGATATTGTAGTAGTTATAAACAAAGGTTTATTTTAGTTCAGATTAACATTTGAGGGCAGCAATTGTATTCATAATGTAAAAAATGTTACTTGAAAGCATTATAGCCTACTATTCCTGCCAAACTTCCATGGTTACAGTAGTGTTACTACAGTATGGTGAATGTTGCTGATCTGTGGACACTGGATAGTTCATTCATGGCACAATATTTCTTCCTGCTTTCCACGCCAGCGCTGTTTGATCCGTTAATAATGGAGAAATGTGAATGGTTATTAATAGATCTCACAGTGATGTTATTACTTCAGTAGTGAATTCAAATGCTTTCTTTACTTGATCTCACTGTGTAGTAACAGTGCGGCTTGATAAAGATCGGCTCACGCTGCATTGGTCCAAATTGATAAACAATCCTTCAAACACATAATAACAAGTAACTCAATTTAGTTTCGCTTGCATTACATTTGCCATTTGATGTTGGACAATGTTGTGGTTGCGCCAACATCTCAAGCGTACTTGCAACGCGTCTACAGTACATGAAGTAACAAAATTTTGAAAATGCCTCGAAAGCCTTGGTTCAATACGAATACGTGTATTGTTACACCCCTAGAGTTAATCCTCAATTTTAGAATTTTTAGAAATTCATATTGAGAGTCTGCAAGTCCCCAACTCACTTGACTGGTACCAGAGCCAGTGATGTGTCTCGAGACTGTCTTGAGAAATCTTTTACGTGGTCTCGGTCTTGTCACTTCATTGACGGTCTTTGGTCTCAGTCTTGTCTAGGTCTCGCTATCTCAGACCGGCATAGTGGTGCGAATTGCGCCAATGGTACTGTACATTTTGTGCATTCACACTTTTGATGCGAATATGAGTCTGCCACCTGAGTTGAAAATATTTTACTTTGGCATCAATTCGTGCCATGTTAACCAATCAGGAGCCTGCTTGGTGTTGTCACGTGGTGAAGTGATGTGATAAACAGGGACAGGCTCGCTTTTCATTTTATAATATTATTTCATATGTTTGGCCTCAATAAATGATTTACAATATGTAATATGTATGTTTATTACATTGTTTATTACATAATGATTTGTAATATACTAAACACAATACGTAGTGATGTTACGTCTGACATTGACGCTCCGAGTCCGAAGCTTGCTTCAAACTCGAACGGTCAGTGCAATGAACCACTATTTCTGAATAAAAACCATACCATTTAATGAACACTTTGTCTAAGCCTTCTGCATGATGTACCCAAAGCACACCCTCTGCCAAATGTTTATTATTATTATTAATTAGAGAACATATGAACATTGTTACATAAAAACATGCATCAAAGACAGAAACTTCAAAAACCCTCTGCTACATTATACAAGTACAACCAGTTACACAAGCACATCCTTTTCAACATACAAAAATATCAGTCACACCAGTTAACAAGTTAAAGAGTTCTTCTTCTCACAGCTACAAGATAAAGCTTTCACAGATGATTCTGCCCTGCTAAAAAACAAAAATATAAATCCTAATGGAATATGTCCCTCCCAAACACACTACAAAAAATAATTCTGTAGTCATTTAAATGGTAAAAGCCAATGGTTCCTATTGGTATTTTAATAGAAACCAATTTCTGTGATGGTTTACAACTTTTTTTAAGCTGGTCTGATCTTCTGTCCTTGTCTAAAGAAATAATTACACACATACATCATGCTTAATGTTTTATTATCAAGGTGAACACATGAAATTCATCAGGATCTGTAAAATTCACCTACATAAATTAGTTTCACAGCACTAACACTGTTTCTAACACAGTCTCATCTCAAAAAGTCATATAACTGACGTCTTGGGACGTCTTTTGACCATACGTAAATATCCACCTTTTTAGGGCCCCCTTAAACGTTGGTAGATGGCGATCCCGGGCCGTCATACAACTGACGCTTTACCTTTAACGTCAGTTAGGTTAAGGGTTAGGTTTAGGGTTAGGTTTAGGTCTGGGGTAGAGTTAGGATCCCATAACCTCATCTACCGACGTTTAAGGGGGCCCTAAAAAGGCGAATATTGACGTATGGTCAAAAGACGTCCCAAAACGTCAGTTATATGACGTCTTGGGATGAGACCGGGTTGCTGTTTCAGCTTTGATCGCCTCGGTAAACACGTAATAAACAGGGCGTTAACATATTTGCATTTTAAGGTTGGCTTTGTTGCATTCCATTTACTTCACCAGGAGATGGTTCTGCAATCTGAATGTGTCACGGTGTGGGTTTGTCTTGTCATGTTTAGTGGTCTGTATTTTGTCCGTTTGTGCCTTTATTTAAGCCCAGTGTTTCAGTCCAGTCTTTGTTCTTGTAACTGTTATGTTTGCTTGTAGCTTGCTGTTTCCTGTAGCTGAGTTTGTGTTCTGTATTCCTGTTTCTGAGTTTCTTTGTTTACCCTGGATTACCCTTTTGTTTGATGATTATTATTATAATTAAATAGTGTCTGCATTTGGATTTTTCCTTGCCTCTCCGTTACAGAATGAGAGTAATGAACCATTTTCGACACAATTGTATCAAAAAGCAATAATGCTTCGAAACGCTTAATTTGGCCATCACTAACAATACGATTAACTTTTTTTTTTTAAGTTGCTGAGCAATATTCTACCTACAATTATAGTATTGTTAAATTCTGTTTATTTAATTTATACTTTAATATCAAAAGAAAGCCCTGGCAGGGGTGTCCGATTTTATCTCCAGCCCTAATTAAACACCTGCTTTTGATAATCATGGTCATTAGGCTCAATGAAAACATTCAGGCAGATGTGGAGCTAAACTCTTCATGAAGAGGAACAAACCTCCGAGCTATAGACATTAACTACACCTCAGTTCATTTTTTGTTAAACTACTTAGTATTAAAGTAACACGTTTATCTTGTAGAATAAAAGTGCCTAGGTTTTCTTTCAATTATCGTAACATTTCTTTAACCATAGGGGCAGCGTCTGAAGAGGGTACAATAACCATGGAAGAATATTCATTTTATTAAACTTATCCTACCGAGCAGCAAGAGTAGTATAGTATTTTTTTTACAGTATGAATAATCTTTGGATTCCATTTCATTCCATTAATATATTTGGAAATAATACAATTTGTGTCAGTATCATTTTTTTAATAAATCAGTTTACACCAACATTTGTGGTGTTTTTGTTTATAAACCACTTTCTTAACCCCTTAACGCCCAGTGTCGCAAATATGCAACAAACCGTTTGACTCAGTCAACCAGCCGAGAAAACGTCTGCATTCCCCCAATGCCGGTTAGTGCATATTCGCTACGGACCTACCTTCGACAAGCACTTGTTTTTAGTGGGACCACAAAGTGACGTATTTCCTGTTTACGCACGGTCAGGAACATTTGCAACATACCAAATTGACCATTGTGCCCGCTGTTGCAGATTTGCAACATACCAAATTGACCCCAAATTGACCATTTGCAACATACCAAATTGACTCCAAATTGACCAATGCCCGGTGCTGCAGATTTGCAACATACCAAATTGACCCCAAATTGACCATTTGCAACATACCAAATTGACTCCAAATTGACCAATGCCCACTGTTGCAGATTTGCAACATACCAAATTGACCCCAAATTGACCATTATGCCCACTGTTGCAGATTTGCAACATACCAAATTGACCCCAAATTGACCATTTTGCAACATACCAAATCGACCCCAAATTGACCAATGCCCGGTGTTGCAGATTTGCAACATACCAAATTGACCCAAAATTTACCATTATGCCCGCTGTTGCAGATTTGCAGCACACCAAATTGACCCCAAATTGACCATTTGCAACATACCAAATTGACCCCAAATTGACCAATGCCCGCTGTTGCAGATTTGCAACATACCAAATTGACCCCAAATTGACCATTATGCCCACTGTTGCTGATTTGCAGCACACCAAATTGACCCCAAATTGACCATTTGCAACATACCAAATTGACCCCAAATTGACCAATGCCCGCTGTTGCAGATTTGCAACATACCAAATTGACCCCAAATTGACCATTATGCCCACTGTTGCAGATTTCCAACATAACAAAATTTCGATTATTTGTTGTGCAAAAGTGAAATTGATAATCTCAAAATTATTTACCATCTACTTAAAGGCAAAAACACACATAAAACATTTTTTTTATATACAGCTATATAAATTCAGGCGTTAAGGGGTTAAATCAGTTTACAATAAGAATTTTGGTGTTTTTGTTTATAAATCAGTTTATTAATTTATTTTGATACAGAATCGTTCTAGACACAAAAAAATGCATACTATAACAGGGGGAAAAAATTCACAACAATCTGAGTTATTTCCTGGCACACAGACCAAACCAATTTAATGCAATGAATAGCAGGTGTGCAAATGAATCACCACATTGAAATCCCAAGAAACAGGTCAAAACTGAGCTAAAACATGAACAAAACCTTAAAACTTGTCCCTTACAGCAGCAAAGTATTACACTAATTACACTGTGATTCATTTATATCTCATTTTCAAATGTATGTTTAATTTCCTATATTTCATGTTCAATAACTATTTCAAAGTCAAAAGTTTGCTTCCATGGCTCTAGTCAGTTATGTGTCCTTTAATGAAGAAGAATGTTCCCACAGCTACTCCCAACAGTCCAAGAGTCAGACCCACTCCACATAACACTGCTGGACCAACACTTGGGAGGGCAACATCAACATCTGAAAAATACATCCATAGGATAAAAGAATAATAAGGTTTTTTTTTTGTTTTTTTTTTTGTAGCAGAAAAAAGCACTAGGTTACATTCTATTTGAAATCACACTCACCCCATGTTTTGGTCTGTGGTTGACCTTGGAGGGCTCTGTGGTTCACCGTGCAGCTGTAAAAGTCTCCTTCAGCAGGTGTAAACTTAAGAGTAGAAAATATGTTGAAGGTATCATCCATTCTTTGGCGGTATTGACTTAAACTCATGCCCTCTGATACATTAACATTATTCTTAGTCCATGAGATGTTCACAGATGGAGGATAGAAGCCAGTCACATGACAAATGATGGTGTTTTGAACACCCAGCTGCACATCATCCTTTGGATATAATGAAGTCTGGGGTGCATCTAGGTGTAGACACAGATAACTTTATTCATTAATTCTTTAGTTCAGTTAGTTAAGCTATCTTAAAATGCATTATATAAACTTTTGAGGCACATCTTCATGAATTCCCAATGCAAATTCAGAATGAGTACCTTACATGGATATCCCCAATAACATAGATTCCTATTAAGATATTGATTCGCCTGTAGAAATTTTCTGTCTAATTAGCTCCCGTGCAATGCGATTAAGTTGATGAAAATACTGAATGGTGCCTTATATAAGAACGCTTTGATAAATGGGTCAGCTGACTATCAGGTGTGCGAGCTTGACTAAATTGATGATCTGCCAGTATTAACACTACACTTGATTGTTGTGGAATATTATTACAATTGAAAATAACTTTTCTCTTTGAAAATACCTGCACCTGAGACCCGCAGTGAGCGTCTGACAGCAGCTGTCAAGAGCGACGAGTGACGCAGGTAGCTTTGCAACAGAGCGGTCATTTGAAGTCCAGGGGCCTCATTTATAAACGTTGCGTACGCACAAAAGAAGGCGTACGCCGCTCTCTACGCAATAGTTGGTATTTATAAAAAACAAACTTGACGGCAAAATGTGCGGTCCTTCACGCAAGCTCTGACCCAGGCGTACACACAAAAACGGGTGAAATGAGAAATGGCGACACCGTCGGCAGTTGGAAAAAACACGTGAAAGTGTGTGAAACTGTAGACGGTTGTGTAAAATAAAGTGCAATACTGCCTCTCATAAATAACACGAAGACTTCACAAAGCAAGTCTTAACAGCTTACAATTAACAGCCTACACAAACACCCGTTTGATCGATATGTAACAGAAATGCAAATTAACACATTTCCAAAAAGAAAGTGAAATATTTTCTGCTATAATATTGGTATGCAATTCATTCTCATAAATAAGATGGCAGAACGAAATAATGTACAAACTGATATTCTCGCCAATATGTCCGTCTAACGGAGCAGATAGCAATTAGATAGTCAGTCAGATAGATAGATAATTAGGAAGATATATAGATAGGTCGATAGGCCTAAATATTATTTGTCCACTGGGGAAAGTTGTTTTCATAGTAAAAATGTCTTTTTACTTTATTCCATAATCTACGGAATCATGGTATTCATGCATATGCCTTTAGTTTGTTTTATTTTTGATAAACGTATGACGTGTCTCAACCATGGTGGAGGGAGAATCACATTATAAAATAAATGTTTTTCTCCAAAACATGTTGGCCACAATTATTCATACCCCTAGAATTTTTTATGAATAAAATGTCTATGAAGTATATTCCCATTAATATTTACTTTTTTAGCACACTAGGGTGACTAGGAACATGGAATTGTGCAGTCATGACTTCTTGTTTCACAGGAGTTTAAATATGAGGAAGAAGAACATGGTTCTGATGTGCATCAAAAGATTGTTGAGCTTCACAAAATAGTGGATGTAATACCACGAATACAGGAAGAAGCCATCTTTGAAAAATAGTCTCTACCAGTCGATCTACGAACGCTGATCCAAGTGCGCTGAACTGTGCAGAATCTCATATGGTCCGTTGTTTCCGGAAGAAACACAAACACGAACCATTTTCTTCTCTTCAATATGTACACGTAGCCTACTGTTCGCGCTCACCTTATCACCTTATTCACGTCTCACCAGCGCACTTGGATCGGTGTTCGTAGATCGACTGGTAGAGACTATTTTTCAAAGATGGCTTCTTCCTGTAATCGGGAAGTTGACTGTATGTATAAAATATCTTCTTATTAAACTGTATGGACACTGACAAAGTTCTCAATGCTTCGGTTTGAATGTGGGGACCCTTATTATGCTACCATGTTAGTGTGGTGCTATTTTGAGCCTTCTTAGTGGTAATAACAAGCGATTTTTATTTGTCATTACTCTATGCCCTATATACTAGCATTATACTAGCGTTATAGGCTAAACTGTTTTTAGAGATAAAACTATTTACATTTGGCAATCATGAAAACAAATCTCAGATAATGGTTGACTAGGTAACAATGTGTAATTAGACCAAAGGTTCATTTTCCGCTGGAGTTCTCCTTTAAGGAAACCCTTTATAAACCCTTAACAAAGGGAACTTTAAAATATATAATGCTAAAAACTGTAAAAATGTAAAAGCTCATAACACATTCTCATGTCTTACCCATTTCTAATGGTAGGCTCTTGAAAGCAATATCAAAATTTGGTAATTCTCGTTTGCATCTCTGTATTGCATCAGCACCGATTTCATAAAATCCGGGATATGTTGTGGATCCCATAAAATCAGGTAATGTCATTACTCCTCTCTTCTGTTTAAAGTCGACATGCCCCACCTCCTCTTCATCATATCCAATGTAATACTCCTGTTCCACATCAGAGCATGCAACATATTCCAAAGCTTCATGTTCAACTGAAAAAGATTGAGCATCATAAAACATAAACAAAATAAGCTTATTTGAGGATGACAATTTAGTTACATTGGATAGCTGATCAAATATGGTTCAAGAAAATGTCACTGATTATGAATTTTATTGCATTTTACAAAATGTATTTTCTGTGGGGTTGTATAGAAACGCAGCACAAGCGTCACTACGGGAAGCAGAAAGTGTCCAACTTCACGTCTTAGTTTTCAGCTCCTCCCCTCCTGTATGAGGCAACTCTCGATCGGTTACATCCAGCCCCAGCTGATATTGAACACAACCAAGATATTCCTCAGAGGAACAATTTTAAAATTGTTAACCCCCCCCCCCCCCCCAAACAAAAAAAAAATGGGCGCCGAACATGGCACAGAACGTGAAAATGATAACTAAGTCTGGCTGAAACGAGTCTTGCGTCTTGCCTGGCGCTGCATTGCACAGGGTGTATGATAGGGCCCTAAGCATCTTGACTTCTTGACAGGGCCCCACTCTGACCCTGAATATAGCTGTCACGATTTGGGTTTTGTGTCTTGTTCCTTGTTCTTGTCTGTCATGTGATTCCCTGTTTGCAAATTGCCAATTGTTAATTGTCTGATCATTGTTCCCAGATATTTATTATTAGCCACGCCCCCTTGTTAGCTTTTTTGTATTTAAACCTCTGTGCTTCAGTTGTTGGTTGTCAGTCGTTGTTGCTTGTAGCATTCTCTATGTCCCTGTCTTGAGTTCCGTGTTCCTTTGTATGAACTGTTTACTTTATTAAAAGAGTACTTTCATTTGGATTCCCTCTCTGCTTCGTCCTTTCCACATCGTTAAAGAACGACCGACCAAATATAAATCCAGAAATCTCCAGCCAAGTAGGCGACGCCTGATCCTTATTCTGAAGATGGCCGTCACAGAGACCGACCTGTCGTAGCTTGTTACTACCGAGCCTTCGTTTCATGTCAGCCCTGCCGAGCCTGAGCTGCTTCACGTCAGTCCTGCCGAGCCTGAGCTGCTTCACGTCGGGGCCACCGAACACGTTGTGCCTGCCACACAAGAGACTGTTCCAGATCCAGAGACTGTTTACATCACGTCTGCCGATCCAGAGATTGTTCACGTTCCATCTTCCTATCCAGAGACTGTTCACGTCCCGTCTGCCAATCCAGAGACTGTTCACGTCCCGTCTGCTGATCCAGAGACTGTTCACGTCACTTCCGCCAAGCCAGTGTCTAAGGACAAGATGGCCGCCGCTGTGCCAGTGTCTCTGGACAAGATGGCCTCCGCCATGCTGTCTGTTCCTGTTCCCGAGCCAGTGTCTGTTCCTGTTCCTGGTGTTTTTTCCTGTTCCCATGCCGGTGTCTGTTCTTCCTTAGCCAGTGTTCATTCCTGAGCCGGTGTCTGTTCCTCCTGAGCCGGTGTTCGTTCCTGAGCCGGTGTATGTTCTTGAGCCGGTGCCTGCTCTACCCTATGATTCCGTAGCTCCCCCCAAGAATTTTTTTTTTATTTAGAAGGTCCCGCGATGGGACCATGGAGGGTCGTCTCTGCCAGGGCCACCTAAGGTGGGCTTCTCCCCCCTGGTTGCCTGCACTGCCTGATCCGCCCTGGTCGCTCTCCTCTTCTGCTCCACGGGCCTGGCCCTCCATCCCAACTTTAAAACCTCTGTGCTTCAGTTGTTGGTTGTCGTTGTTGCTTGTAGCATTCTCCATGTTCCTGTCCTGAGTCCCGTGTTCCTTTGCATGACCTGTTTACTTTATTAAAAGAGTGCTTGCATTTGGATTATCTCTTCTTTGTCCTTACCGCATTGTGCAATAGACTTGCAATTAAAATACTGTAATTCACATTTTTCTTTTGTGGGTGCTTGCTGACCTTATTCATTTTACAGTTTTACTTCAATCGTCTTAAAAAAATAGGTTGATTCTCTCTAAGAAATGTAATGCAGCCAACAGAGTACATACGATTTATTTCTGTCATACGCCATATGCCAACCATACGCTACAGAAAATGTGGACTATAAATAACATGCTACTGTATATATGACCTGGCTAGATACATCCTCAAAGAAAGCACTTTCAAAATGCTTTTGTTATAAGTTCAAATAATAATAATGTATGTAGGAACAACTGGAATAAAGCTACTCTTGTTGCTGAAAGTGGATTTAAAATCCATAGTTTATCCACAATTTACAGTCCATGATTTAAAATTATGATGGATCCGGAAGGTTTTGTATTGTTTATTGTACTTTTAAAATTACTTATTAGCAGCTCTAAAGTATATATAAACACGATGCATTGTTACTGCATTGCTTTATAATTCATTTGTATTATAGTCAATTATGTTTTGCTTATTAAGTCAAATGTTCTCATTGCATAGCTCTCTGACATTTTGTATTGAATTTTGAAAATTAGTAATTGTTGATAATACCAAAGCAATGAAGACATAATGAATGAAAACCGACGTCTTTACACAATATGTAGACAATGGCTGTGTAACAGAGACATTTATTGAAGCATTGAAAGCACAATCACAGATTTTGAAGGAATGATTATAGGTATTACAAATTATTTGTTACAAGTTTGCTATTTTACCACTTGTGAATATAGTAAGCAATTTAAAAACTTAAACTTACATTCAGCACTAGATGAAAGTACAATGGTTAGGGTGAGAATGATTATATACACCTCCATCTTGATCGATGAGAGTTGAACGGTCATCAGACACATTTTTAACTGAGGTGAAACAAGCGGGTATTTTTTCCTTTGTTAGAGCTTTTGCATATTGCATGTTAGAGTTTGACTTGCAAAGTGACATTGCTGTATCTAGGAAGAACATAAGTTCTACCTGAAATAATTGGGAGGCAATACACTGTAACAAGTATACATTTATTAACAGCCCAGTCAGGAAATGTTATGATATAAAGTTATTTGGTGTAGGCCCATAGCTTGTAATACTCATTACTCCTGCATTACTTATAGTTACTTAATTACGGACCATTATTCTAAAGGACTTGGTAGCCCAAGAATTGACGACAGACCTCAAAGCAATGTCGACTGAATGGGGATCACATTAGGGAGCCAATCGTCTTCAATAACTATCGAATGAGCCAATGAAATTGGCGTGCCTAAAGGACATTGCACACTGAGTCCGACATTTTTGTATGTGTTTTTTCGTGTTTGTCAGCTTAAAAATTTGTCACGCACAGAAACTTGCACACTAGTGTCTGATGCGTATTTATTAAACCTTTGCGGAAAAAAACTCACAAAAATACAAAATGGATTCATCAAGCAGTGAGGATGATTTTGTTGCCCTCTCTCTTTTTATGATGGCCTTAAGTTTCAGAGGCGGTGTGCAAGTGCGTTTGACATAACATGAGGTTGAATTTTTTTGACGTGAAAATTTCGGATGCGAATATCGGACTCAATGTGCAATGGCCTTAACTCTCATCACACACTCCGCCGCTGCGGCGCGGGTATAAATATGTAAATGTTTACAATGAGCGAGTGTGTCAGACTCTCCCAGTGCTGGGGGTATTTACAGAGCGAGTGGAGAAATGATCGCGAGTTTTTGAGCTCTCAACTACTGTAGCAAAAAATTTCTGTTTGTGTTTATTGACGGATAGTTAGAGGGCTTAAAAGTGAGTGCTTCACTGATTCAGTTCACTGACATTGTGCTACAACTGAGAGCTGAAAATGAACGCCTGCGCCAGGAGCCAGCAGCGACGGTGTCAGAGTCGATTCCGGCCCTCTGCGACAACACTGCATTAAGACCATCTACAAGCATGGCTGCGTAAGGTATTATAGAACTGCTACTGAGAGACTTGTTCTTATCCCACGGGATAGAAAATGCCCTATGTTTCGAGGTAACTCTGGTATGAATATTGACGAGTGGGTTGAGGAGGCACGTGCATGTAGCTCGTCATTTGGCTCCTGTTGATCAACCTTTTTTTTTGGTTGATCACTTGGAAGGTGAGGCCAGGGATGAAATTAAATATCGTTCAGATGCAGAGCAGGGAGACCCAGAAAATATTATTAAGATTTTGCAAGAATTGTATGGCTGTTGTCAATCACATGTTGCATTACAGGAGGCTTTCTATTCCAGAAAACAGCAAGAGGGGGAGATTCGTCATGAGTTTTCTTTCTTTCATGTTGCACCAGCAGGCACATTGAATTTCGAGGTGCTATTATGTGACCAATTTATTGAGCATGTTTCTGATTGTTCTCTCTGCAGAGAGTTAAAACAACTAGTGCGTAGTCAGCCCAAAAGCACCCTGTTGGATGTCAGAGGAGAGGCCAATACGGTAGGTGGGAGCAGGAGGGTATGCCCGGGGGGGGGGGGCTCGAGGTCGTAGTCACTCTGTTCCATCGGTCTATGGCCTTCAGTATGGGGTTCAGGGGGGTTCCTCTAACATGTTGGGTAATAGGGGTGTAAATTGGGGCCTGCATGACGATTCGATACGATACCGATTTCTTAAGCCAACAATTCGATTATTTTCGATACTTCAAAATTCCCCGCGATACAATTCGATTCGATTAAAATTCGATATTTTTACATGATATCTATTAAGTTTTAAATAAATCAACAAAATATGTATATTTTGCCTTTTATTGAGAATACAGAAACAGTATTCTAGTGTGCATGTTGTGCTCAAAGTACTGCAAATAGAACAGCAAATGTAACAGTTACTGCATCTACAGTTACAATAAAGTGCCATCAGATAAATTGTAATTAGAACAAAATAAAAATAATTAAGTGTAATGCTTACAGTGCAGGTCTACTATGGCCAATTAGCCTATTCACTGTTAAAACAAACAATCAAAGACTGACCTCTACAGCCTAAATTTCAAATACATCAACCCTGCAGTTATCCGGATAATAAGTGTTCTGATCTTACCGATTCCATTTACACCTGGCCACATAAATGTGTTTTTGCAAAATGGATATAAATCCGATCTTCAACTCCCGCGTTATACGCAGATTTAATGGATTGCACGCCACCAAAGCAACAGATATGAGCTGCATTTTATTGATCATCAGCTAATTTCAAAATCAAAGACAGCAAAAAGAGAGAGTGCAACAGCCCTGGTAAGAGATCATTTCTTTAGAGATCGTTTCTTTACTTGAAGATGATTGTGTGTTAACTGTGACTTACTTTCACTTTTATTTGCGATGTTTGCACGTTGGCTTGATGAATAGACGCTCAGCTGCTCATCTGCGATGATGCATATCGCAGTAGCGCCGTCATATCTGACTATAACATGACATATAGCCTATATAACACGCTCTCACTCGTTTATTTTTTAGAATTTTTGGGAGGAGTAAAATATACATATGTGGTTTCATAAGCGTATAACGCGTGTGAATTACAACAATAATGAGGTTAGCGCCACCCGCAGCTTACCAGTAGGTTGCATGCACATGTCGGAGCAGATGCTGAAAATAGACAGGCGGCAAAATAAACGCATTAATCGATTCTCGCAACAGCAAGACCAGCTTAGCTTTGGGTTAACTATCAGTTAACCCAAAGTATCGCTTTGCTTCAGAATAACCAGAGGTATGTGAGACCGCCCCGTGATGGCCCTGTAATTTGTAGGAGATGTCAGCGTCCGGGACACTTTGCAAGGGAGTGTGATGATGGTGTAAGGGTTCCCTTTCGTTCCCGGTCTCACTCTGTAGCATTACCCTCTCCATCTACTATTAGATCTCTACCCTCCCAACAGGGGTCGGAAAACTAATGCCCACTGAACTGTTGAGCCACAGGGGCCCTTTTACAGGCTCTTGTGTTGTAAATAGTGCGAGAAGTGCAACAAATGTAATGTCCTCCTGGCCCCATATAGACATTCTTATGGGTGGACTGAAGGTGTCCTGTTTATTGGACACTGGCTCCATGGTGTCTACTGTTACCGAGAGTTTCTTTTTGCAACACTTTAAGACAGAAAGTTTACAGGCTTGCCGGTGGCTTCAGCTTAAAGTTGATAATGGTTTGGCCATTCCTTATTTGGGTTATCTAGAATTAAATGTTTTCTTGTGTGGTAGGGTCATACCTGGTTGTGGCATACTTGTAGTAAAAGATCTTCCCGGGGGTGTTAGTGTCCCGGGCTTCCTTGGGATGAACATAATTTGCAAATGCTACGAACTTTTGTTTTTTCAACATTTGACCTGCTTTGTTTGAGTTACCAACCGTGTCTCAGGCACCTGGTCATGTGTTCCAAGCCTTACAACAGTGTTATCAGGCAGGTGTTGAACCCCTCCCTGATGTGAAGAGTGTTGTTAAACTAACTCAGGGTAGGGTTCAGCGTATTCCAGAGGGCGTGACCAAGTTTGTCAGGGCGACATGTGCAGATCACTTGTCTGGTAGTACTGCTTTATTTTAGCCTCTCGACTCTGACTCTGGGTGGCTTGTTGGCATCTCCCTCTTTAGTGCGGGTGTTCGGGGGTACAGTTTATGTTCCTATGGTAAATGTTGGCACTACTGATGTTCTTCTCTACGCTCGCACCCAATTAGGTTATTTGCGCGGGGTGGATGTGGTCAGTTTGCCTGAGGGCGTAGCTGAGTTGAGGGCTATTGAAGTTGCAGGTTCATCTCCCAGCCCAATTCATAGTCAAAAAGATGCCCTTGATTTATCTAATCTTAGCAGAGAGGAGGCCCAACAGGTAAGGGCATTGTTGGTTGAGTACCAAGCAGTGTTTTTGGCTCATGAGGGAGATTTGGGCTGTACTAGTCTTATATCCCATGAAATCCCCCTGTTAGACGACGTTCCGGTTCGGCAACGCTATAGGCGGTTGCCATCATCTGAGTATGAGGTCGTTAACCCCCTGAGCCCGACGGCGTCGTCGACGATGCCACACGTCACCTCCGATAAATGTTTACATAACTCGATGACAGATTTATCGATTTTCTTACCGTTTTTTCCAGCAGAAAGCTAACGAGCTAGCCATCACGGGGGTGTCTTTCGTGTCTTTCTAGCCTTTACAGAAGGTTTTCTATCCAGCCTGGAACTTGTGCTTCCTTTCAGAGGTTTTCAGAAATAAATCCAAACGCTTTATGTCAAACTTTGATAATCTTGAAGTCCATAATTCATAAATATTCGGTCATTTTTGCCGCTAGCTCGACGCTAGCGGCCATTCTGGATATCACGTGATGTTTTCACGTGATGGTTTTTGACCAATTACAGGCTGATCCGTTGTAAACATTGGTGTGCGTCATTACGCATGAACCAAGCGCTGATATAGTGTAGAGAGATAGAGAGACGCACGGAGACGCGCGATTCACAGAGAAACACAGCGAAATGGACGTAAATAAAGCGCTGGTCTATTTTGGTGCATTGCAGGATGATGGATTTTCAGGAGAACAGAGCTTTTTGACAGATGAGGAACTAGATTACCAGGATAGACCCAGCTGAAGTGCCATTTATTTATTTACTGTAAAAAAGTATTATAGAAGTATAAATGTATTATAAAAGAATAAAAAGAACATAATAAATAAAAGAATAAATAAAATAGAAATGCAAAACCTGTGATGTGGCCCTCTGTGTGATTGCTGATAGGAACTGTTTTGAGGCTTGGCACCAGTGAATTTCATGAGGCCCCAAACGCCTGGACTTCTTTTGGAAAAATGTCAATAGTTTTTGTTCTGTACAAGTTATAATGTTTATTCCTGTGCTCCAGGACTCCAAAGACATGAACAAACTATTTTCCAGAGGAAAATTGCTTAGCTTTTATTTATTTGTG